TTCCCAAGTCAGCCAGGATTTGGCCTTAGATATTTTAGCTTCGAAGTCCATGCTCCTGACCACCATGCCCTTATAAGCATCCCAGAGAGCTTCCACTGCCCCTACCCTGCCCTAACCCCTGTTGCTGGCATCTTTGGGCTAAAAGACAATTTTAGGTACAAACCAGAAAGATGAGCTCCACTGGGGTTACTGGGAATGAAAGACAGCATTTACAGCTTGGCTCACTTTGCATGAGCAAAGTGTTCTACTTCTAGGAAAAAAAAATCAGTTTGGAAGCTTCAGATGCAAATGGTCCCATGACATCATCCATCCTCTGCATGTCATAGACACTAGATACCTGGGAAGGTGATGCCAATAGAAATGGTATTTCTTGCTATATTTTTGTCATTTATTTGTTTTTTAAATTTTTATTTATTTTGCTCAGATAATTTTGACCATGAAGAGTCCTGTTGACCTGGCCAAATACTGATGAAATAACTTCATTATCATATGTCACACTCTCGGTGTTTAGTAAAGAGGAAGTTTGCGTTTTAAGATGAATATAGGAAAACAGTAGTGTCTCTCTCTCTCTCTCTCTCAAAGATGATTGTATTTCCCTCACATTTCTTGGGCTTTCCACCTCACCTTAATATGAACAGAAATGTTTATCATTATGGGATGCTAGAATAACTGTTTAAGTTAAGTGTGTAAATTTGGGGAACACTGACAAAAATGATATGCTTCTAGTTGCAAAATGAGCCGATCTCATTGAAGAATGGGGCCTTGTTCACAAGCTCCTCTCAGATCCAGAGTTGTATTACCCTCTGGCCTTTGCATGAAACAGCTGGAACCTCATGGAGACTGCTTCCCAGAGCACCTTTTATATGATCAGCATATCACAAAGTATTTATTGAATGCTTGCAACATACTTAGCAAATGCAAGTGTTTGAAAAGGTGTAATCAGCATAAACAATTTTTTTTTTTTGAAAAAGAAAGAAAGAGAGAAAGACGGAAATGAATGAAAGAAAGAGGAAGAGAAAGAGGGACAGAGAACGAGAGTCTTGCTTTATTGCCCAGGCTAGAATGCAGTCTAAAAATGGGTATTAAAAACCTCTTTTATGCTAACAATTGTGCTTAACAATGGAGACAGGAAGGAATAAGGGAGGAAGATAACCAATATTTCAGTTAAACCTGTGAAATGCTATGCGATTACTGAGGAGTGATTTACTTCCAATTATGTAGTCACTTTTAGAGTAGGTGTGATGTGGTACTGAGAAGAACGTATGTTTTGTGGATTTGGGGTGGAGAGTTCTGTAAATGTTTATTAAGTTTACTTGTTCCAGGTCTGAGTTCAAGTCCTGGATATCCTTGTGAATTTTCTGTCTCATTGATCTGTCTAATTGTGACAATGTGATGTTAAAGTCTCCCACTATTATTGTGTGGGAGTCTAAGTCTCTTTATAAGTCATTAAGAACTTGCCTTATGTATCTGGGTGCTCCTGTATTGGGTCCGTATATATTTAGGATCGTTAGCTCTTCTTGTTGCAGTGATCCTTTTAGCATTATGTAATGTCCTTCTTTGTCTCTTTTGATCTTTGTTGCTTTAAAGTCTATTTTGTCAGAGGTGAGAATTGCAACTCCTGCTTTTTATTTATTTATTTTTGCTCTCTGGTTGGTTGGTAAGTCTTCCTCCATCCCTTTGTTTTGAGTCTTTGTGTATCCTTGCATGTGAGATGGGTCTGGATGCAGCATACCGATGGGTTTTGGCTTTTTATCCAATTTGTCTGTCTGTGTCTTTTGATTAGGGCATTTAGTCGATTTAAATTTAGGATTAATAATAATATATGTGAGTTTAATACTGCCATTTAATGCTAGCTGGCTGTTTTGCCCGTTAGTTGATGTAGATTTTTCATTATGCTGATGCTGTTTACCTTTTGGTATATTTTTGGAGTGGCTGGTACTGGTTGTTCTTTTCTACGTTTAGTGCCTCTTTCAGAAGCTCTTGTAAAGCAGGCCTGGTGGTGATGAAATCTCTGAGTACTTGTTTGTTCACAAAAGATTTTATTTTTCCTTCACTTGTGAAGCTTAGTTTGGCTGGATATGAAATTCTGGGTTGAAAGTTCTTTTCTTTAAGGATGTTGAATATTGGCCCCCACTCTCTTCTGGCTTGTAGGGTTTCTGCTGAGAGATCTGCTGTGAATCTTATGGGCTTGCCTTTGTGGGTAACCGGACCTTTCTCTCTGGCTGCCCTTAGCATTTTCTCCTTCATTTCAACCCCAGTGAATCTGACGATTATGTGCCTTGGGGTTGCTCTTCTTGAGGAATATCTTTATGGTGTTCTCTGTATTACCTGGAGCTGAATATTGTCCTGCCTTGCTAGGTTGGGATGTTTTCCTGAATAATATCCTGAAGAATATTTTCCAGCTTGGATTCATTCTCTTCATCACATTCAGGTACATATATCAAATGTAGATTAGGACTTTTCACATAGTCCCATATTTCTTAGAGACTTTGCTCATTCCTTTTTACCCTTTTTTCTCTAATCTCGTCTTCTTGTTTTATTTCATTGAGTTAGTCCTTGACCTCTGATATCCTTTCTTCTGCTTGGTCAATTCGACTATTAAAACTTGTGCATATTTTGTGAAGTTCTCGTATCGTGTTTTTCAGCTCCATTAATTCACTTGTATTCCTCTCTAAATTGTCTATTCTCGTTAGCATTTCGTCAAACCTTTTTTCAAGGTTCTTAGTTTCTTTGCATTGGATTAGAACCTGTTCCTTTAGGTCACAGAATTTTCTTTTTCTTATTATCCACCTTCTAAAGCCTGATTCTGACAATTCATCACGCTCATTGTCCATCAGGCCTTGTTCCTTTGCTGATGAGGAGCTGCAATCCCCTGAAGGAGGAGAGACATTCTGATTTAGGATGTTTTCAGCCTTTTTGCGCTGGTTTCCTCCCATCTTTGTGGATTTATCCACCTGTCGTCTTTGTCATTGCTGACTTTCAGATTGGGTCTCTGAGTGGATGTCCAGCTTGTTGGTGATGAAGTTATTTCTGTTTCTTTGTTTTCCTGTCTCAGACGCCCCTCCCCCACAGAGCTGGACCTTCCTGGGTTCAGCTGTGCTTGCTGTGAAACTCTCAACCATCAACGTTTCCTATTGCTGTTTTTTTGTGGGGGTGGGACAAGCCGAACCTGATCACCTGGCTCCCTGTCTCCGAGCCCCCTTTCTTTCTTTTCCTAATTGAATGGTTGATTCTCTCCTGGGTACCCCAGTTGCCCACCAAAAAGGTGCCAGGATCTATGCAATTTCCCATGAGGTGACTGGGCTGGCTGAAACAGCGGCGCTGAGATTCGTGGCGCTTTGCTGCCCAGGAATCTCCTGGTCTGGCTCCCCACTTCAGTCCCCCTTTCAATCAGCTGAATGGGCAACTCTGCCTTCCCGGAGCTCCAAATGCCAACCAAAAGGGCACCCAGTCCCGCATACTCTGCACTGAGAACTGCCAGGCCGGCCAAAAGAGTCGCGCTGGCTACCCGTGGGGCTCCTCCGCTGGGAATCTCCTGGTCCGTTGGCAACAAAAATTCGTCTGGAAGTCTGGCATCCACTCACTCCCTGCGCCTTCATTGGGAGCTGCAATCCTGAGCTGCTGCTAAAAGGCCATCTTGGATCTCCCTCCCATAAACGATTTTTAAAGATATGTGTATTCTTGGTGGAGGGATGGGGAGACAAACTGATGTGCAAGACATGATAACAGAATATGGAACCAGATAATTAATTCTATGGCCCTGGCAGTTAGCTTACTATTTATCCAGAAAAGGAGGTTGAAGAAAGGTTTCATGAAAAAGGAGGGACTTGAACGAGGCCCTAATAGAATTTGTTTCTAGAGAATGGCAAGGACAGGGCTACAGTGCTGAGAGTGACCAACTGACCTTGGGGACAGTGACGGGACAAACCCGAGGAGAGAAGGAAGCTGAGGCTGAAGAATTAGGAAACCTGAGACTGATGTTATTTTCAAGTATTTAATTTGAAATGATCTTTCAAATATTTCCTGCAAGATAAAATCATGATACTCAGGCAAATATAAAACAACATGTGCCAAGGATTTCATTTTATTTTTTAAAGATTATATATCAAATATGCATAGGAAATCTCACCAGGGATTTTATTTAATTTATGAATTAATGGAGGAGCCAGTAAGAGGTTAAAGAGCAGTTGTGAAGGATGCTGGATGGATAGACATCAAATTTGTAAATTGATAGTTAGGCAGTTGAACGAATAAATGTTAGGATAAGATTGCTGGATTACATACGAAACCAGTTCATGTCTTACGGGACAATAAATCCTAATCTTTTGGGTTATATGTTCCACTGGACAGAAGTTATTTGCATCTGTACTGGAAAAAAAATCCCTGAGTTAACATGTAACTTTACTAAATCTGGGACATTTAATCCATAGCAAATAGTGAGTAAAATGAAGTACATTCACCTAGATAGTCCTTGGGTAGCCTTTGTCACATGACATTGAAAAAGATGTGCCACTCACTTTTTTCCTTTTTCTATTGCTAACTTTTAGATAATTTAAAAAATAATACTGACCTACAAAGAAATGAAGAAAAATCTGGTTTACTGCAGTGCCCTTTTAAGGCTCTGTAGATGGGACCCCCTGTGTGTTCTTGTTCTATATTTAGTTCTTGAATAACTCGGACCGAGAAATCCAGAGGCCTCTTTGGCCCAGCGTTCCGTCTTCTTTTCCCATAGTCTTTTCATCTTTGTTACCACTGACAGCCAACTCTCGGCTTGGGTTCCTCCTTCATTCTTTCATTGAGATGTAGACAAGTAGAAATGGGGCCTGAGGCAGGTTCACAGATGGGAAGGGCTGGTTTAACCCTGCGCTGGTCCAGACACTGAGGCTTGGTGCCCGTGAATGTGTCCGATGGGGGAGCAGGGTTCTCAGCGTGGGGAATTTCTGCCTGTGAGCCCTTGCCTTTCTGTCTTGCTGACTCTTCTACCTGAAATCGCATGTCAGTGTGTTGCAGGTGCCATGTACATCACCGGCTTTGCTGAATCTATCTCGGATTTGCTGGGCCTCAGGAATATCTGGGCTGTGCGAGGAATTTCAGTTGCGGTGCTTCTGGCCTTGCTGGGCATTAACCTAGCAGGTGTCAAATGGATAATCCGCCTCCAGCTGCTGTTGCTGTTCCTGCTGGCTGTGTCAACTCTGGACTTTGTGGTGGGTTCTTTCACCCACCTGGACCCAGGTAAGCCTTTTGGAGTCCAGTATGTGGCCTTATGGATCTGCACTGCTTCAAAGATGTTTGTGAGTGTGTTTGCCAACTTCATCTCCCCCTAACTCTCATAGGCCTTACCTACAATTGGCGTGGGCTGTTCCTGGATCAGGTGAATGGGTGTGTCTTGGAGCAGCTTCATGGGGATGGAAGCCCCTCTTCACAGAGACAATTGCCTAGCACATTTTCTATGTGTCCTTTTATTTTCTTTCTATTAAAAAAAACCAGGCTGGGAGCAGTGGCTCATGCCTGTAATCCCAGCACTTTGGGAGGCCGAGGCAGGTGGATCACCTGAAGTTTGAGATCGCAGGAGTTTGAGACCAGCCTGGCTAACATAGTGAAACCTTGTCTCTATTAAAAATACAAAAATAAGCTGGGCATGGTGGTAGGCACCTGTAATCCCAGCTACTCAAAAGGCTGAGGCAGGAGAATTGCTCGAGCCTGGGAGGCGAAGGTCGCAGTAAGCCGAGATTGCACTGCTGCACTCCAGCCTGGGCAACAAGAGAGAAACTCTGTCTCAAAAACCCAAAAACAAACAAAAACCCCCAGAAAATTTAGGTGAAACAAATAAAAAGCAGAAGTGAGTGGATAAAGATCAGATTCATAACAGTGATGGGTACAGTAGGCAAGAAATCAAGATGAGAGTAGGGAAGAAGACTTTAAAAGACTTTTAAAACAAAATAGACTTTCACAGTTTTTTCCTTTTTTTTTTTTTTTTTTTTTACAAAAAAAGGAATTGATATAAATATAACATGTTAGCAATTGTCATTTTTGGGAGATGAGGGCAGATATATGTTTGATTATTTGTAGTTTTCTACATATTTTTTTTTCAAAATATAAAAATATTAACCACACTTAAATAAACCACCAGATCTAGTTTTACAGCATTTGCAAACGGTATTATATATTTGTAATCAATCACTATTTAATCTAATCCTGGGTTTTCCCCACCCTTGAGGATGCTTGGCAACTCTAATCCTACATTCTTATGCCTTGAGTGAGGAGCTACTGCCCAGAATGTTTATAACTTTGTAGCTGTGTGATTTGGGTAGGTTTGGCACCAAGTCTTTGCTTCTCTCCAGAGTACAGAGCTAGTCCTAGGAAGTGTTTGGGAAAAAAGGCCTGGTATTTCACACTTCAGGGAACTCTGTCTCTATGTAGCAGTAGTGACCAGGCATCTACACTGGAATATGGACAGGAAAAGGGAACTGTGTTTTGAAAAGACAAACCTGCAGCCCAGAGAATAACCTCTGGAGGTGGTGGCAGTAAGGGTGACGATGGCCACTGCGTTTGACGAAGCACCTGCTGTGCACCAGGCATTGTGTGTAGTCAGTCAGCTCAGCACTTTACATGGTGCGTCTTACTTCATCCTTACCATAACCTCTTGAGATAAGAACAGCTATACCCCTTTCACAGATGAGGAAACTGGGGTTCAAAGATGATATACTTTGGGGTAATGCACAGCAGAGCTGGGATTTGAAGTTAGATCTGTTTGATACTAAAGCCGTTCCCTGAAAGGAGAAGTGGGGCCTGTTTGTGCACAGTGACATGCTGTCTTTTTGTGACAGCAACTCCGCTTTTCCCCTTGGAGGTCACCCATGATGTGTGCCTACACAGCTCTGTCTTTTAGAAAAATGTTGGTTGTGGGAAGATCAGCATTCAATTGGCATCCACTGATCGGGCCTTATTACTTCTGAGCATGTTAAAATATTCTGTTGGAAAATTGTCACTCCCCTGAGCTCCCTGAGTATCTCCTACTCACTGGCATCCTAGTCCCTCCCAAGAAACCTTCAGACAGCCTGACAATCTGGCACCTAAAGGGTTAACCCGGGGGCCACTCTAGTGCCCAGGGCCAATGTGGTGTCCACCCTGATCACCTGGAGCCCAGGCCTTGCAGATTGCTAAATATCTGACTCATCTCCAGGTAGGAGACAGTGATCTTTTTTTCCCCCCGGCCATGTACCACCCTGCAGAGATGGCTCACATATGGAAGGAGACTTGGTGGCCTTTGGCCATCAAACTGTCAGTGAAGGAAAGACAGAGTCAAGTACCCTGATTCCTGGTACTTCCACTTCCAGCGACACAGTTGCTAGAAGAGCTTAATTAGTTAAATTGCAAGGCGATACTGGCTTCTTTGAAACCTCACACTGGCCTGATGTATTTTCCTTCTTCTTGATTAGAAGTTTACTTGGCTGCTCTTCTAAGTTACTCCAAATATTTTTCCTTCCTTCTGGTCAATACATTAGTAGAGTGTAGTGTGAAATGAAATTTATTTTCAATCATTCCCATAGCAACTGGCCCCTCAAGAATCTGTTTTTGGTATCACTGATGTTATGGGATATTTTCTTTGTGGTTAAAAATCCAAACTGAAACCAAACTACAAACCTTCAGAATGAATTTAGCAGAGTGACTTCAACTCTTAAAAAAAAAAAAAAAAAAGAAGAGGACATATACATAAATATTTGAAAAAAAGACTGGAAGGAACTATGCCTAACAGTGACTATCTTTCTGTTGAGATTATGTGTGACTGAATTATCTTATTTCTACCTTTCCTTCAATTGTCTAGTGTTACTTATTTTTTTTTGAGACAGAGTTTCGCTCTTGTTACCCAGGCTGGAGTGCAATGGCGCGATCTCGGCTCACCGCAGCCTCCGCCTCCTGGGCTCAGGCAATTCTCCTGCCTCAGCCTCCTAAGTGGCTGGGATTACAGGCACGCGCCACCACGCCCAGCTAGTTTTTTGTATTTTTAGTAGAGACGGGGTTTCACCATGTTGACCAGGATGGTCTCGATCTCTCGACCTCGTGATCCACCCGCCTTGGCCTCCCAAAGTGCTGGGATTACAGGCTTGAGCCACCGCGCCCGGCCTAGTGTTACTTTTTTAAAAAATTAATAGATTTGCTTTTAGAGCAATTTTAGGTTTATGGCAAATTAAGCAAATAGTATAAAAGTTCCCACATACCCCTTTCAACTTTCCACACCACAGTTTCCCCTATTATTAATAACTTGTATTAATGTGATGCATTTACTGGAGATGATGAACCAATATTGGTATGTTGTTGCCAATAGTCTAGGGTTCACTCAATGTTATGCATTCTGTGGATTTTGACAATGTACAATGTTAAGTATGCAGGATTACAGCATCATACAGATGAGTTTCACTGCCCTAAAAATTCCCTGTGCCCTGCATATTGATGCTCCTCAACTCCTGGCAACCGCTGATCTTTTTACTGTTTCCGTAGTTTTGGCTTTTCCAGAATGTCGTATAGTTGGAACCATATAGTATGTGGCATTTTCAGTTTGGCTTCGTTCACTAGTAATATGCATTTCAGATTTCTTCATGTCTTTTTCTGGCTTGACAACACATTTCCTTTTGTCACTGAATAAAAAGAAACTGGATGTAGCACAGATTGTCCATTCACCTACTGGAGGACATCTTGATTGCCTCCAGTTTTTGGCAATTATGAATACAACTGATGTAAACATCCATGTTCAGGTTTCTGTGAGGATACATTTTCAACTCATTTGGATAAATACCTAGATGTGTCATTGTTGGAGCATATGGTAAGACTGTGTTTGTAAGAAGCTGCCAAACTGTCTTCTAAAGTGGCTGTACCATTTTGCATTCCCACCAACAATGAATGAGAGTTCCTGTTGCTCCACATCCTCATCAGCATTTGGTATTGTCAGGGTTTTTTTGTTTTTGTTTTCGTTTTTTTGTTTTTTTTTTTTTTAAATTCTAATAGATGCACAGTAGAATCTCATCATTGTTTTAATTTGTAATTCTCAAATGACATATGATATTGAATGTGTTTCTGTATGCTTATTTGCCATCCATATACCACCTTTGGGGAAGTGTTAAGATCTTTTGCCGCCCAGGCTGGAATGCAGTGGCACGATCTTGGCTCACTGCAATCTTTGCCTCCTAGGTTCAAGTAATTCTCGTGTCTCAGCCTCCTGAGTTGCTGGGATTACAGGCGTGAACTAGCACACCTGGCTAATTTTTTGCGTTTTTATTAGAGACGAGGTTTTGCCATGTTGGCCAGGTTAGTCTTGAACTCTTAGCCTCAAGAGATCCACCTGCCTCGGCCTCCCAGAGTGCTGGGATTACAGGTGTAAGCCACTGTACCTGGCCACTATTGAGTTTTAAGAGTTCTTTGTATATTTTGGATTCAAGCCCTTTATCAGATGTGTGTTTTGCAAATATTTTCTTCCTAGTCTATGGTTGGTTCTTTCATTCTCTTAACAGTGTCTTTTGTGGAGCAGAGGTTTCAAACTGTAGTGGAGTCTAATTTATCAACTTTTTTGCATGGATCATACCTTGGGTGCTGTACCTAGAATCTCTTTGCTAAACCCCTAGATTTTCTCCTTTGTTATCTTCCAGAAGTTTTGTTTGACACTTAGGTCTATGATCCAGATTGAGTTAATATTTTGTGAAGGGTGTAAGATGAGTGTCCAGATTACTCTGGGGTTATTTTTGGCACATGAATATGCAGTTGTTCCAGCACCAGTTACAGAAAAGACTCTCTTGTCTCCATTGAATTGCTTTTGTGTCTTTGTCAGGTAGCAGTTGACTGTATTTGTGTGTTTCTACACTCTCTTTTCTGTTCCATTGCTCTGGCTATTCTGTCTTCAATACCATACTCTCTTGATTACTACAGCTTTATAGTAAGTCTTAAAGTTGGTTAGCATCTGTCCTCCAACTTTGTCCATTTTCACCAGTGTGTTGTCTTTTTTCTTTTTTTATTATTGTGCTTTAAATTCTGGGGTACATGTGTAGAAGGTGCAGGCATGTTACATAGCTACACATGTGCCATGGTAGTTTGCTGCACCCATCAACCCATCATCTACATTAGGTATTTCTCCTAATGCTATTGCTCCCCTGTCCCCTTCACCCCGTGATAGGCCCCAGTGTGTGATGTTCCCTCTCCCTGTGTCTGTGTGTTCTCATTGTTCAACTCCTACTTCTGAGTGA